ATTCAATTAAAAATTTTTCATCATCGGGAAAAGGAGGAAAATGTTATTAAAGTGATTTGGGAATTTTGTTTGTAAAAATATATATATATATATATATATATATATATAAAATAAAAATAAAAATAAAAAAATATATGAAAAAAAGTTATTTTATACAGGTCGTTCGATCCGAATAGTTTACCTTGAAAATTTTTTGTTATTAAGAAAAAAAAAGAAAAAAGAAAAAAAGAAAAAGAAAGGAAAAAGAGAAGAAGATATTATAGGAAATGATTTGACGATGTTTCTGCCATCAAAAAAATAATTATCCAGAGAAAGGCGTATTCAAGGAGCAATAACTATGATAAGAGCCATTCTGGAAATCCCATGTGTGTACGCGCGCGCGCACACACACACCCACATACACGCGAACACACACATACAATATATATTGTATATATATATATATATACATAAATTCGCATATAACAATATAACAAATGTGCATATGCATTTGCATATGCACTCGTGAAAAAAAATATAATCGTAAATATGTGGCTTAGCTTAAATCATTTTTTTCTTCTTTAAGATTTTACTCTAACTTCAATCAAAAATAAGATATGAATCGTTACAGTTGAGCGAATCACCGGACATCTTTTCAAAACAATCATTTAAGACGACCTTTAATGAACTAATCAGTTTTCGACATTGTATTATGTAATTTTTTTTTTTTTATTCAGTATAGCACGAGAAATCAATCCATGTAAAAAAAAAGAAAAAAAAAGAAATCGTAAGATTCTGTTTAAAAAAAATTATCGATGACCTTGAAATATCGTAAAAAGAAAAAAACAAAAAGATAACCTTGAAAAAGAAATTCTCCTATCGTCAGTAAAAATTGATCCTTCATATCATATAATTTTCTTCTAATAACATTTTTTATAAAATTATAATTGACAAAGATATTCAGATATTTTGATTTTAATATCCAGTTCTATAATGTGCACATATACGTAAATACGCAGATATACGAATGCAAGTTTGACAAATGAAAGAAAAACTCGTGCATCGGTACGATGCACCCGATGATAAAAGCGGATAAGCTCTGACGGTGGTCGACATACACGACGCATGCTTTAATTTAATTGCAAGCATTGCGAGAACGTAGGTGGTAGACAGACGATTCACTGACCTCTCTCTCTCTCTCTCTCTCTCTCTCTCTCTCTCCCTCTCTCTTTTTCTCTGTCTGTCTGTCCGCCCATCCGTCTGTCCGTCCACCTTTCTATCTCTCTGTCTCTCACTCTCTGCGAATCGAGACGTTAGTTAAAATATTCGTTTTCAGGGGCTTCACTTTCCTAACACGAAGGGACTATTAAGCTTCGTTGAAATTCGATAACAAAAAAGAAAAGAAAATCTGATGGAAATCCGAAAAGTTCCAATTGAAATTTACATATATCATTATTCATAATGTTTATTTTTTATTGTCTAATATGCGTGTATGTGTGTATATGTGTGTATATATATATATATATATATATATATATGTATGTAACATATTACTAACATATATTAACAATATTATTAATTTGATAATTAATTAAAATATAATTAACATTGACGGAAGCATCTGAAATTTTTAAAGCTATCCATTTAAATAAATTAATTATATATAATATATACAAATTGTATATATACATATCTTTTTCTCACTTCACAAGTGTTCGTGCAAATGATTATGAATTAAAAAATATAATTGTTCAAATTCAATTGTGGTTATAAATTTGAATGAAAAACTATATACTACGTTACTCTGAAGAAAAATTTTTTGTTATCGAGAAAAAGAGAAAAATAAAAATAGGTTATTAAAATGATTGGGCACCTTTGTTTATGAAAAGGAAACAAAAAGAATAATAATAATAAATTAAATTTATTATATATAATATAAATTTATATCGTGTCGCTTAAGGGCGACCATCTCCATCATCTAAATCCGTCACTGAGATGACTAATTATTATTAACGTATATATATGTTATTAATTGTTAAAAAACGACAACTTCACAGTTTACTTCGAAACTCGAACATACTCTTGAAGTTACTACGTAATTACTTCAGGTTACACTCACGTCATTTATATTACACGCGCAAATTGTTTTATATGAATATATGTATATTGTGATAGGATAATAAAATTCTTCAGATATTTTTTATTTTAAGATTAATCAAGTGTATATATCACTCGTTATCATCACGTGATCAAAGATGTTCAAAATATCAGGTAATTAAATTTATTTATAAAGATTATTCGTATCTATATATAAATTTTTCTTTTTATTATTATTATGACGATTGAATTAGTGACTATCGTCAATTTCTATATAAAATTATTATAAATGAATAAGAATTTATAATAATTTCTTCGATATATTTCTGATTATAAAAAATTGTTATTTTAATATCTAATTATATATATATATATATATATATCTCAATGTTATCTTGTAACCAATAGCATAATAGTATATATC